TATTGTCTAGCCTATTTCTTTTGGAACTGTTTCTTCTCTCAATCTAACCAATTGGTTTCAATTGGTTTTGTAATTTTCCATAACCCTGATCCCATCTTTGGTTACAGTTTATTTAACCTATGGGTGGGATTTTACTCAAGTTGAAATTATCAGAGTGTTTTGTCCCCTGGAAACAGTTTATTCATCTTGTAGAGGTAAAATTTTTTCCCTTCTAGGCATTTTGGCTGATCTAATAATTAAAATGACATACAATGGGAGGAAAAAAATATATGTATGGGAGCCCCATAAAAATAAGAAACTCAAAGAAGTGATCAAAGTAAGAAACTTTCATGCCTTTCAAAGAAACAATGAATTTATATAGAACTGTAAGACTAAGCAGTTTGTGCTTGGGTATTAAATTGGTGAAAAATTAGCCAGGTTAGTTTCGACAACAAGCTAAGTCTTAAATTTCCTATGTTGGGGTGCCTCCCTGGTGGCACAGCGGTTGAGCGCTGGGCTGTGACTCTGCCCGCAGTCTCTGCAGCGCCGGTTTGATCCTAGGCCGCAGGTGAGGGTCCCACATGGTGTGCAGACCTCTCCTGCTGTGCCCGCTGCTCCCCTTAGCAGTGTATTTCATCACTCTGCCTGTTCTGCTCCCCGCTCTGGCTCTGGTGAATTCTCTCACCCTCCCAGCTTCTGACTGTACCCAGTGCTTGTATAAATAATAAATAAATCTTTAAAATAAAATTAAATTTCCTATTTCGGAAGTGATGAGGATTCCTTCTACCCTTCCACACAGGAAGGGTAATTTTCACATTGGAGATTTACTGTCTGCTTTCAGAGAGACAGGGAGAGCCAGAGTGTCCTTGTACCAACTGTTTCTCAAGAAACTTTAATTCAGAATATTTGATATGACAAAAGAGTATATTTTGTAAAGGAATATTCTGTTACTCTTCAGTCTAAAAGTGGGCTAGAAAAGGCAATCAGAATTACTTCTTTTTTTTTTTTTTAAGATTTATTTATTTATTTATATAAGCACTGGGTACAGTCAGAAGCGTGGGATGGTGAGAGAATTCACCAGAGCCAGAGCAGGGAACAGAACAGGCAGACTGTTCTGACAAAATACGCTGCTGAGGGGAGCAGCGGGTATGGCAGGAGAGGTCTGTTGCAACATGTAGGACACTCACCTGTGGCCGGGGAGCGAACCAGCACTGCAGAGGCTGCAGGCAGCTTCGCAGCCCTGCGCTCAATTGCTGAGCCACCAGGGGAGGCCCAGAATTACTTCTAAAATTTATTTAGTATAAATAAGAAAATTACTTAGTCTTTGTCTTCTGGTGGAAAATTCCAGAGCTTTTGCCAGTTTTGTTTCCTATTATCTGAAAAAATGTCAGTTTGCAGTGAGAGGAAAGAAAAGAGAAATCTATGTATGTACGTATGTATGTATGTATGTATGTATGTATGTATGTCTATCTATCTATCTATCTATCTATCTATCTATCTATCTATCTATCTATCTATCTATCTCTTTAAAGACAGAGAGGGAGAGATAGGTGGTATAGGCATATCCTTGATTTTAGTTATTCTCATATACCATCATAACATGGGAACAAGTACAATATAACGCACATCTGTGAAACTTCCAAAACTTTTTATTTTGGAAAATGATCATTTGTCCTTCCTTTTGCCTGATGAAATCTTTGAGCAATCAATATTGGTATTTCAGATTTGAGTGTTACTGACCTATGTTGTGGACCTATATATATACTTTCATATATCTCATTCAATTCAAATGTCCTAAAAATGAGTAAAGATGTTTTTATACATTTTAAAGATGAAAAAAATGGGAGCTTTAGAGAGGTGGCACTTTATAAGTCACTCAAAAAGTAAATGAGGTCTGAATTCAGGGACTCGGCTCTCATATAATGCACACATGGGATTGAGAAATAGGTACCCACTGTTGAGCACAGTCCCAAGTTAGGATGTACATCTTTGTGTGCAAAGCATGGACCAGAGTTCACACTTTACTTGTTGTTCCTACCAGATGGTTGTCCTTGTGTAGTGAAAAACCCTGGCAACCATTACACAGTATCTGGCAGAATTTATCTTAGATTGGGTTTGAGCTTTTGAATTTAAGTTCTTTTTTTTTTTTAATTCATCTACATTGAATCCGATTTCATTTCCACTTATGACTTGATTTTGTGATACATCTACAGCAAATGAAGACTGTTTTGGACAGTATAGACTAGGTTGTGCTTTGATAACAAGCAACTTCAAAATCTTCGTATTTTGTCTGAACAAAATTTTATCTAGTGCTCATTCAAATTCTACTGAGAATTTGTTTCTCCAGAGCAACTGTGCCCCATGTGCTGAGTATCTGAAGCTTCTTAGATCAATGGTACCTCCATATGCATACATGTCTCTACAATTCCTGCGACAAGGGAAGAGTCAAGCTAAAGATCCTAGCATCTGCAATTAAAATTTCCACATACAAATCATGCACGCCACTTCAACTCATATTTCATGGTCAAATCAAGTCATATGGCAACACACAGCTTCGAGAGGTGGATTGGTGCAGTCTCCCATGTACTCTGAAGGAAAAGCTATGTAGATAATTGTGAACAATAGTGATAAATACCACCAGGACTTGTGACTATTAAATAGAATTAATGTTTAAAGCAAGTATGTATGATGCCATGATAGTCTTAGATCAGAACACTGTGGATAGTATTAAGGAAAACTCTCTCTCCTTTGTTTTACTTTGATCACAAAGCTTGGGAAAGTCAAACATAAATAATACAATTGCTTTATATGTTACCAACCATTGTAGATAACCTATTTTTCTTTTATATAATACCTCTTTTGTGGTAGAAATCTAGTGCTAGAGCTAATGGTAGAATATTATTGATGAAGCTTACCACACAGGGCTCAAATAATATAATAGTTACAAAAGAGCTGGGTAGACTTTAACATATTGAGAAACATTTTAAGATAATACTGTAGTTTTCTTTTTGGATCTCCATCTGGAGAATCTCTGGATGACTTTTTAGCTAAAAACTGATTGGGTGATCTTTCAGAGAGCATAACCCCCCACTTCCAGAAAATCCAAAGGTCTCTCTTGGCAACAGACTCCCATAAGCATTTATTGATTCAATGAAAGGCCTCGTTAAGTGTGGCAGGGTGGAATAGGTCTGGGGTAGAAGGCAAGAGTGGTCAGGACACGTCAGTGATAAGGATGTGGCTCAGATGAAAAAATAAAGCAGCCTCTAGTGTAAATGTGAGCCTGCTGAGGTCTGCTCTGTGATTCTCTTTAATAACGGAGTCGAGAGGTGTTAATGAGCATGACACAGGGCACAGAGCCATCAAGTGAATTAGTCATAGCTTGATTCTTTTATGTGCCTTGTCTAATAGCAAACATTACCCAGCAATCACAGCAGCGGCACTCTCAGATGGAGCAGAAGGTGTGGAAGGGAGTAATGAGGCTGCCTAAAAACTGTTTTACAGAGCCCTGCACCAATTCACAACAGATAATAGAACTCAAAGCCAGACAGATAATAGAAGCGACAGCCATTTATTGCTAAGAGACTGTCTGAATATTTGTGCGTAAAACAGCCCACTCCAAGTTCTTTAATCACATTTCCCGAGCAAAAGTGGCAAAAAGGAAATCCACGTGGCAGGCTACTTCCATTAGTGTATTTTAAATGAGTATAAAGAAAAAGCATGAGTAGATGTGAAGAAAAAGAATACTGACAGAGACTGCAGATCAGAGACAGTCTGGCTGCTTGAATCCAGCAAATTGGGACATGTTCTCCTTGTGGGTAGGGCAGAGCCTTGGAAGAGAGCTCATCCTGCAGTTATTTGATATTCAGAATCATTAAAAAAATTGTAGTTTGCAGTTCTTCCTGAGAGGATGGCTCACCTATACACCATTTTCTCTTACTTATTGCCATGCCATACCTTTGGAACTCTTTGAATCTTGTGGGTAGTGGATGGGGACAGACGTCTCTGGAAAGGTTTGGGTGATGGAATTCATGATTCTTCTATATAATTCATGATTTTTTTATATATTTCTATATATTTTCTATATATTGTCTTTTGCCAAAAGATCCCCCCCATAAACATACATTACAAAATGCCCCTTAATGTAATGTGAAATTCTGAAATTTGTTTTTCATATTTTTCCCACTCCATCTGGCAATCATGTGTTTTGTTCTAGTGCCACATTTTAAAAGGGACATTAACCAGATGAAGTGAACACAAAAGAAGATGTCCAAAATGTCACTGGAATGTGACCATTTCTTTAAAAATGGTTAGAGGGACTTGAGAAGAATTTGACATAGAGATTATTATGAGTGGGTAGCTTGACAACAGTATTCAACTAGAGGCTTCCTTTCTGTGAAAGAGGAATTAACTATGTTCTGTAGGACTTTATGCAGTAGAAAAGGACGAATAAAGTTAATTTACAATAGGTTGGTTAATCGGACCCTGATTATTGGAAATGGGAATTTTCCATGACACCACTACTCCACCACCATGGTAGATTATGGGGAATGATTTGACAGTGGTTAGAACTATTCAGGAGTTGAATGAGCATTCTGGAAGTATAGTGAGCTCCCTGTCAGTGGATGTATTCAAGTGGAGGATTCAAGTGGAAATAATCACTTGTAAAGGAAATTACAGAAAATATTTTAGCTGGAGTTTTGCCCTAATTGATGTGAAGTCCACTCAAATCTAGAGGGCCTGTGGTCTTTTTAGTCTCCTTTGGGAAGTTCTTGATGTATTATATCCTGAACCCCAGGAACTCTGAAGGCTGTGTTTAAAGTAGTTTTTTTTTTTCTCTTTGAAAGTCAGAAAAACTTTGGCTTTATATTATTATGGGTATACAAATCAAGGATTATTTATGAGATAGATAGTAAATAATGATTGCTGGTGCAAAGTACAAGTTTTGTTTTTTCTGGAGTTTGTAATTGTCTTCAGTACATATAACTAATTATCCCCCAGGTATTTTAATAGTTTTTTTTTTTTTTTTTTTTACAGAGTCTGAATACAGGAGGATTTTTATTTTTTCATGTAATGATGTAAAACACAAATGCTGGCTTGACAAATATTCACATATAACATCTCACATTAAAAACTCAACAGACCTGGATCCAGAGGAACTGTTTTATCACTCTACGGAGCATACTGTGTTAGTATTCCAAAAGTTTATTCCAATCCATTCCTTCTTTTATACTCTAAAACATCTTCATTATGCTGCTTGATGAGATAGAACCACAGAAAGGCCGAGGTGCCCAAGGTCAGGCCAACTTTCAGCCAGTCGGGCTGGGCGTGAGGCAGGTCCCGCACGTAGAACTTCGCCCGCGCGGCGGAAACGCTCGGGAGCCTGGCCGGGGCCAGCAGCCGGGAGCAGCGGCGCAGCCACGCGGGCGCCGCCATATTGCCGGGTCCGGTATTTTAATAGTTTTATAAAATACTATGTTATAATATTTTATATACAGTCATCCATCATGTCCATATATAACAATTTAGTACCAACATTGTTAGTTGTGTATCCAAAATGCACTCTTGCTTTCTTTTGTATTGATGGAAGACTGATATTTGTTTAGGGCAGCAATAGATATAGCTTCAAAATTCATTTACTAACCTTTTTTGCAACAAGAGTTATTCATAAGGTACTGATAAGATTCATACAATGTTTCTTTTTTTTCACCTTTCCTTTCTTTTTTTTCTTCTTTCCTTCCTGAATATGCTGATCTTATGTGAGGGATCCAGCACTCTTTATGAGATATGAGGCAACCATGAGAATAAAGGATACAAGATACAGAAGAACAGACAAAGACTTGGATATTAAATGGCATAACAAAACCCATTCCAGGATTTTTTTTTTCTTACCTTCAGAATTATAGTTAAATGTGGGAAATGAATTTACTTGATTCAGGGGCTCCTTGGTGGCACAAGGGGTTAAATATCAGCACTGTGAAACTATCAGCAGCCACTGCAGCAGTTTGGGGAGCTAACCCACATGGCATACCAGACCTCTCCTATCTTGCCTGCTGCTCCCCTTAATAATATATTTCAGTCAATCTGCCTGTTCTGCTCCCCACTCTGTCTCTGGTGAACCCTCTCACCTTCAGCACCTCTGACCTACACCCCAGCTCTTGTATGCATAAATAACATGAATCTTTAAAAAAATTAAACAAATTTTATTTGATTTATTCAGTTCTATGAGGTTTCTAAGCTAAGTTAAATGTTTCTAAGCTAAGTTAAATGTAACCCTAAGATATTTCAAATCAATGAATTTCTCAATAAATTATCTTGGGGCAAGTCCCCAGCTACTTGGGAAAATATGGAGAAGTATCCTTACCCCACGTTTTATAGAATACAATCTTAGTTTATGGAAAGTTTGCCTCAATATTCCTAAAACCTCTGAAATAAAATTATTAAGATTAATCATATGAAATTAAAATTTTACATTTAGCTAAAGCTAAATGATTAAATTGTTAGGAAGACAGTTGCCACACTAAGAACTAATCTCTACAGTATATAAAGAGACATTCAGTAATAACAAGGAAAAAAAATCTGACTAATAGAAATTTTGGCAAAGAAATAGACAGAAAATTCCAAGAAAGAAATATCTGAGAAAAATCTCTTACAAAACAGACTAATTAAATAACAAATAAAAAGGAACTTGAAAAAGGCAGACATAAAGAAAGAAGCCAATTAAGATGTATAAACAATTTCCTCACAGAGATAAGAGAAAATAGAATATCCTGAAAATAACAAGAAGATGCTTCATACATTTTAGGACAGAACAAATGAAACAACCAAAGAACAAGTCAGAACATTTTGGAAATTAAAAATGTGGGAATAAAAATGTCTAGAAAAATACTTGGAATATATTGTGAAGGGAATAGCTTACTAATTAGAACCAAAACATGAAAAGATTGTCCATAAGAGAGAAAACAAGAGAAAATTGAAAAACCAAGGCATAAGCTCTAACAGTCAACTATGGAAAACTCCAGAAAAAAAATCAGAGAAAACAGAGAAGAAATTATCCAAGTTACAATTTTATCAAATTTCCCAAATCCACAGTATATAACACTATAGATTAAAAGTGTGCATGTGATTATCTGTCTTCATGAATGGAAGAAAATCAGAACACGTGGATGCACAAGAAAAAATTGTCTCATAGAAAAGATTAGAAATAAGAATGGCATATTCATCTGTTTTTTTTTATCCATTTTGTTATAAATTTTAATTTGGAAAGGGTGCTGAAATCAAATCAATCAGTCACATCTACTGATATTGAATCTTTTTTTTTTTTAAGATTTATTTATTTATTTATTTATTTATTTATACAAGCACTGGGTACAGTCAGAAGCGTGGGAGGGTGAGAGAATTCACCAGAGCCAGAGCAGGGAACAGAACAGGCAGAAGGACCGAAGTACACTGCTGAGGGGAACAGCGGGCAGCAGGACAGGTCTGCGTGCCATGTGGGACCTTCACCCGGCAGCTGGGGATCAAACCAGCGCTGCAGAGGCTGCGGCCAGCTTCGCAACTCAGCGCTCAACCGAACTATTTTTTAATATACATACATACATATATATATATACACATTGTTTATTTATAATAAATTCCTAAATTATTTAGGATAAATTCCTGTTGTTGATTATACTTGCTCTAATAATCTGGAATTAGGAAGAATCTAAGACTTTTGTTAAATATTTTGAAATGTTATTAGTCAAATATGAAAACATATTTACCAATTTAAAAGTATGTATGTAGCAATTAAATTGGTATTAAAAATTATTGAATGACTAAAATTTTAATGTAAAAATTAGCCTTTGGCTATTTCCCTATTGTGGTGTTTGATCTTTTATTTCAATTTTTAACAACTGTTTACCTGATACATATGTTTTTATCTAATTTTGTTCATTACATATGTGTATCTTTTACTATATTGCAACTGCCTATCCAATATATTAATCATATTTTAAAGGGTTAAATAAACTGAAATTTAGTTTATGGTATATATATATATATATAGCTTTGTTTTTCAAAATAATTAAATTTTTGGTATCCTATATTCAAGATTGAATCTTTTTTATTCCATAATTTAAAATAATTTCTCTAAAACATTAGTGAGATACACACATGGAAATTTCCATATAAGTATCGATACAAATTACTTTTTAAAAATGAAACACATATACATCAATTTTAATGTACAAAATAATTATATGTGCTTGGCTCTGTTTTTGAGATTTCTCCTCTATTTTATTTACCCATCTCTGTGTTCCTGTAGCACTGTTTAGGTAATTACAACTCTTCAATTCCATTTAGAATCTAGGAGTATACATTCTTGAAATTAGTCTTATTTCAAAAAGATATTCAAATTTTGAGTGGCATAATGTTAAATGTAAAAATGAATTTTGGAGTATGCTAATATAATATACCTATTCCTAATGCAGCCCTTGACTCAGGACTCAGTCTTTTGAATTCTAGTGTTTCCTCTGTGATAGTCCATGAAGAAAAGGATGGGCTTAGATTGAAGCGTACTAAACATTCAATGTCCTGCCTTATGTACTCTGAATCCCCTAATGCATATGCTTGATTGTGGGAAACTTGTTTTCATATTGTAAACCCCATTTTCTCTACAAAGACCAGAGTTCTTTTTTTTTAATATTTATTTACTTATACATAGAAGAGCTGGGGTGCAGGCCATAGATGCAGGGGGTGAGAGGATTCACCAGAGACAGACTGGGGAGCAGAACAGGCAGATTGACTGAAATACACTGCTGAGGGGAGCAGCAGGTGTGACAGGAGAGGTCTGCTGTGCCATGTAGGTCACCTACCTGGGAATCAAACCTGCACTGAGGTGACTGAGGACACCTCCACAGTGCTGTGTCTTAACCCCTTGTGCCACCAGAGAGGCCCTAGAGACCAAAGTACTTATGTGTTTTCCTTGTTACTTTTCTTTTCCAAAGTTGGTTCTTCTGAAAGGGACCAATATATCTAAATATCACAGGGACTTCCTTGTATTTCAGCTACTGAAAGATCTGAAATTTAAGCCATGGGGCAGACATGTGACACTGTATTTACATGATAGCTGGGTTGGAAAAGAATAATTTAATTAGGGTGATTTTTCAGTTTCTGAATTCCACAATGTTGGTAGGGCTTTCATATATTGTCTGGCCACTGGAAGATTCTAAATAACATCTGGGATCACAGATATAGAGGAATCATTAGATGCAATATTCCCATTTTGTAGATGGGTAGTTGAGGTGTAAAGTGGTGATTAATTTTTAATGGTCACTTCATGAAAATTCGACCTTTGTTTTATTGAAAGATGATAAAAGTAAGCCTTACCTCAGTGCTAAGTGATCTTTGGAAGGATGGGTTCTCTGGAAAGTAAATGCTGAAATAAAGAAAAGTAAATGTTGAAATAAACATGCAGGATGTTTCCTGGGTAGCTTCCTGGTTCTTGGGATCAATACCTTGGGACAGAAGGTGGAAATGAAGGAGTGGGAAGAGACAGAATTGGAATTTCTATAAGGGAACTCAGTTGCCTGATAGTCTCAGCTAACATCTGAGGATGTGCTGTAGTTCAAATGGCCCACAAGAGTTATACCAATTTAACTGCAGTGTCCTGGCCTTTACAGTCTAGTTTCCGTCAGTTCTTGGTTGCATACAATATCCAGGAAGGAAGTCTGCCTGGGCAAGGAAACTCTGCATCAGAGGCATCCCCTGAAGGACTGCCAGCTTAAGGCTGTCTGAGAGGGCAATCCCATCCTCTGGGGTAAGGTCTTTCTTAGAGAAGGATCAGGGAGTGTCTGTCCATATCCATCATAAGAGCCTTGCTATCAATACGCAAGTGAAGCTTGGACTTGACACCAAGATTCCCTGGTGTGTAGCTCCTGTTACTACAATTCCCCTTTGTTGTTAGATTCCAAACTCTTTCTTAGGAGTTTGTGATATGGAGTTGTGATTCTTAGATGTGAGCTGTTGAACTGTGGAGAGTATTGCCAATCGTGTTGGCACAATACATTTATCTTCATGCTCAACCACCACAACAAAAACATTTAAGTCTATCCCTGAAGGTTTAATAACTCAAACTTTAGAATAGAATACTTAATACCAAGTTCCTTAAATGCCTCTTCAAACTCCATAACTTAAAACAAAAATCTACTCATTCCAATTCTCCCTGGAGTTGCATGTTGATAAATGATTACCCTAAGGAGTTTTCTGAATCTTCATCTTTCTTGTCTGTCAATATCACCCCTCATATGATGAATATAGAACCAGAATTCTCCAGTACCATAGAGAATTTGAGGACACTATTGGGACCTTGCTATGAACCAAGACAGGCTTCACCTAGGACCTGAATCTATCCTTATGTTCTTTCTACCTGCACAACTTGCACATCAGCTACTTTCTC